AGTTAAAAGGGGCATGGAAATTTCTCTTTTTTTGTATCGAAAAAAATATCGAACCATGAGACAAAAGTAAATGTCCCACCCACCCCAATTTGAACCCCTAAAAACTGGTAAACTTAGCTTTATTTGCTTTCCCAGAAAGCTAATAAATAACAACATACATGTTAACTTGTATGAATTGTCTGTAAGTTATAAGGATTTCACATCATTTTGCAGGTATACAGGCGTATAGAACAATCTCACAGAATTTTTCAAGTCTTACAGATTTCTTCAAAACCTCATTTTCAAATTTATCTAACATGTCAGAGCCTGTAAGATGGTTTAAAAAACATTAAATAACATTTAAAACTATCTTCCAACCTGTTCTGTTGTTAGAAATAAGTTTTGAACTTTTTCCGCTCTCCTCTCCTCCTGCTTCGTAGCGAGGCTGACATTTTTAGTATCTATTCATTTACTTAAGTAATGAATGTGAATACTTTTGACACCTCTGGTTACAATAAGGAAAGCATTGCAGTTCTACTTTTTATAAAACCCAACTGAATGATTTAAATGTGAAAAGGGAGGATTTAAATACATATGTTTCTATTGAAGTGTTTTTCAAGTCATGTGTTGAAAATTCCTAATTTTTTTTCCCCATTTCATAGCATATATTGACACAGCTCAGTTTTTTCCAATACGCAGAGCTGTAGCTAGTAGAAATGCTGGTTAAAAAAACATTGTGAAACAGGCCCGCAATGGTTTTCAGCAGATTCAGCCTTTGTTTACACTGAACGCCTACCCACATTCTTAAACTCACATATGAATATATGTGGAAAACAAGCAGAGTGAACTCTGTCAAACCATTTGAGACAGTTCATGTGAACCTTTTTTATTCTGTATTTGATTTCCTACTTTGCAAAAAAAAACCCTTTTAAACTTGTCACAGTAAAGTTTGCATCAGGTGACAGTGGGCCGTTCAGCTACCCTCGAGCTGTTTGTCTCTGGTGCATGCGCTGGCCTGCCTTCCTGCCATGCGCGCGTTTTATTTGCTGTCTGTTTAACCTGAACACAACCGTTTTCAAATCTCTGTCACTCTGTGTGTGTGTGTGTGTGTGTGTGTGTGTGTGTGTGTGTGTGTGTGTGTGTGTGTGTGTGTGTGTGTGTAGCTGCATCAGATCGAACATTAATA